TAGCTTTTTAATTTTCGGGAGTGAATTTTACATGTAAAAATTATAGGTAACTTATTATCCTTTGCTTTCCTTCTTATATAATGCCATTGGACTATTGTTTATTAATAAACAATTGATTAAAAAATAAGGTAATAATAAAGAAAGTAAAAGTAAATATTTAGGAATTGGAACTATTTTAGCTTTTATATAGGTAAATTTTTTTAATGTAGGTTTAATAAGATGGCTATGCTATGCATAGCAAGTGTTTTCTAAAATTCTTTGTTTCAAAATTTGACAAATATTTAAATTGTTAATTGATAATTATAACTGAAACTTGTATAAAATTGATATAAATTAGAAAATGTCATTATTGCATTTATGTTAATCAACTGTGAAGTGGAATTTCAACACCTCGGGCTATCCCCAGTATTTTTCGGCTAATTTTCTGATAGTATACTTATAAGAAACGTTTTGGCAAATTTATAAAAAAGGCCTTTACATCTTCAACTGTAAAGTTGAATTTTATCACCTTGCACAGTGGTCACAATCACAAAAAAGGTAGCCAAAAGTCGTTAAGGGTTTAAACTTACTATACTTTGGTTTATAAGGTCGCTGATTAAGATTTAAAATTCGTATTAGAAAATCCAAAATGGCCGACTTATTAAAAAAAACTTGAAATCGTTTGAAAATTTGTATTTTATGTGTTTTGATATTATTGGGAAATTATTAATTAAATTAATAAATTTATAATGGGATAAAATTGGGCGAATTATTAAAAAAATTAATTAGAAAGTGTTTTGACCTAAATTAGAACTGAAGGATCTGAAATGGGCAACTTTAGTTTAAAAATTTTTTTTAGATACAATTTAAATGTTTGATCGGGTGGTTTTTCCGGTGCCTGATTGCAAATGTAAATAATAATTCATTAATTCATATTAGATCAAAAAATGGTGATTGGCAAACCTTAAACTCATTAGATTCTATCGACAAATTGCATGTAAGTGTTTTTTACGTCATGGATTGTGCTTTTCAAAAGAAGTAAAATCTAGACCCCTAGGGCCGTATGCAGAAACGTTGATTTATTTATATCAACTGATGTACGCATATCCACTGATTTAACTTTGAACCAATTTTTAGATAGATATATTTATTTACCTTTAATTTACAAGGCGTGTCAACAAAACCGTATATATAAAAATAATTAAAATATAATAATATAAAATGTACAAGAGACATATATATAAAAAACGCAATAAATTAGTTCACTAACTACATAAGTTAAAAAATATTAATAAAAAATTTATATAAATGAGGTAACAATACATACACTATAAATTTAAAAATTCATCTATTGAATAAAAAACATTTTGGATTAAAAAAAATTGTACACTCTTTTTAAAAAGTGTTTGGTCTATCTTTCTAATCCCATCTGGAAGCTTATTTAATAGTTGCCTTCCCAAATATACAAAATTGTTGTAGACGTCTGCAAACGACATTTAAGTAGAACCATTTTGTCTCCATTTCTTGTTTCATAATTGTGAATTTGTGCGTGCGTTAAGTAGTTGGTCTGATTTTGGTGTATGTAGCACAGACAGGTAAGTATGTAGCAGCTTGGAATGGTTCTCTACAGCTTGTTGTTGGCAACATAGCATATTTTAAATGACAGTAAAGACTTGTAGGTTATCTTACATATACTTAAATATGTGTTTATTACATTATAAGAGCAATACATTTTTAAAATGTAATATTAAATATACATATAAATAAACCTTATTATTGACAAAAACTTGGTTTGAAGAGGATTGCGGCAATATAAATCGTGTATGTTATATATTGGGTTATGTTCGCAGTTTGCAATGTGTTCTGGTATAAAAAATTTGCATTAGAAGGTATGAAAATCGAAAATTACCGCTTGAAGGCTCTGAGAAGAACAAAAAAATTTTGTTGAAGTTGGTGGAAATTTTATTTAATTGTTTGTTCTTGAAGAAAATTAATTAATTATATTATAATTATAATAATTCTATTATAGTTATAGGAATACTACAGACCTGTTTCTAAAAGGCAATGGCCTTTTACCTATTCTTTTACAGGTGCCAATAGCAATTTTTTAGGCATTTAGGCAAATGTTTTAAAAAATAAATGCAATGATGCCGAAGACATCGAAAATATAAAAAAATAGTTTCACACACTGTGCCTGTTTTTGCTTTCGAGCAAAAACATATGTTTTTACCTACATTGTGTATTTTTTATTAGTACCTACATACCTATATTTCTGAGCCCAAAAATAAATAGTGTAAATTTCCTCAGAAAAAAAGTCCCCTCTACCTTGTTAAGCCCTTAATCAAAACCTATATGTACCTATATTTCTGAGCCCAAAAATAAATAGTGTAAATTTCCTCAGAAAAAAAGTCCCCTCTACCTTGTTAAGCCCTTAATCAAAACCTACTGTTTCTATTTGAAGAACAAGCACATAATTTAAAAGAAAAAATAAGTTGAACATGGTCCAAAATTTAAAATTCTTCAAAAGTAGGTATTTAAAAAATAAGACAAATATTTTTTAAACACAATTTTGGTTTTATTTTATAATCCTTATTATTTATTAAATAGTAATTTTTTTATCTAGGTATTATATTAAAAAGTAAACATTTATGGAAGGTATGTATGTTTTTAATAATAAAAAAATGAATCAATACATATTTTCACCCAAGTTCAATGTTAGGGATAATTATTTTACAATGAAACCAAAGAAAGTTATAGTTAAATCAATTAATTTCAAGCATTCAGCTTTTTAATCAGACAAAAAAAGAGCAAAGATATTTGATATAATTAACATGGTAGTAATTTTATCTTAAAAAAAATGTTATTTTTTAATTATATCTTTGTTATAGGTATGTTTACCTTCTGAATTTATTTTTTCATTTATATTTACAAACAAAAATACTGTATATTTTTATCCACATTTTAAATCAGTCGTTAACGACTGATGAATTATTTCAACCGATTTACATTTTAGATGATTTTATTGGCCAAAAAACAAAACTAGTAAACCATGACTTATATTAGCGAAATTATTTTTTATGGCTAAAAGCAAATTTTACAAATGTTAAATAAATCTTTTTAACATTTTGTTTGGTTTTATGTCTAATTTAAAATGTCAATGTATAGAAATCTAGGGTAAATATAAGCGTTAAAAGATAATTAACCAATTTATTTTATAAAACAACAGTTTTTAAAGAAAATTACTACATTTCCCTGTCGTGCAAAAACCTATATCCACCTATACTGCCCTACTATGGAGAAAGGCAGTAACTGCAAATTAGCAAATTGGTGGCAAAATTGTTTTTAGTTTTAACCTTTAGGCCACCCTCTTACACATGCAGTGCTTCATCAAAATTTGGCACATATGAATAAAATCTATTGCAATATTTATTAAAAACTTCAAATTTTAATTTTTTTCTCAACGATATAAACAAACGCATTTACTGCTGTTTTCTGTTGTATTTTTTGCTTTTAGTTCAAGTCTGTAAGGCAGTATATGGTAGTAACTGCTTTTATACACTTTATAGTTCATTTACTGATAGGTCATTTATACTCATTTACTGATTCTTTATGGATCAGTATTATATGAGCGACTATATTTGTTATGGAATGGATGGAAGGTATAGCGAATCTTTATTTATAAGGACAACTTTTTATAGAATATTAAAATTAACATCATTATAAATTTAAGAAAATAACAAAGTAAAGTAAATGGATTATTTGATTGATTATCATGCATGATAATACAACGTAAATATATTTTCATTCACTTGAGACAGGAAGATGAAACCAAAAATCTCTCCTATTACTGGGCATTAAACCTGTGAGGTTATTTATTATTCCATTTTTCTTTTCATTTAAGACCCCACGCGAAAGTTCTTGAGGCATAGGATCCGAAATTATCTTTTTTTTTGTAAACATCATTTTTAAGAAAATTTAATGTTTTAATTGTATCCGATTCTAAATCACATTTATATCCAAGATCGAAACATCCCCTTGTCGCTTTAACATATACCATGTCGTTCTCCTTTTTCTTGCCATTTCTTTTTGTCAGAGAGGAATAATCTACAAGTAAGGTCCGCTGGGCTACCATGTTTTTAGCTTTTAATTCTCAATAAAAATATTCCACAATTTCTATAATACATTAGCCCAATTTTTTTTATTATTTTACCCCCTTCTACCCCCGTGCAAGCCACTACATAACATAGAAGAAATAAATATTTGTTATTATTACCATTTTTTTATCCAGCATTATTTTGTTAATTTATTGTTATTTTTTCATTGACTTAATGGAAATAAAATCTTTTTATCATTTTTCTCATCGACATTTTTATTACGCACAAACTTAATTTTTCACTCGATTTTTTACAAACATAGTTTAAAAATGTTAAAAAAAAAATGTCTGCTAAGTCTCTACCGGTGTACATCAACTCCACGACTATCATATTCAACATATAAACCCAATGTTATGCATCCCTCTTTCACATACACATGGCTAAAATAATTTTATTGTGCGTGTATACAAAATCATACACATGGCGCAATAGGCCCAACTCGCGTGTATTTTTTTCATACACATGGCAGTTAACGTGTTAAATTGGGTTGGGGTGTTAAAGATCCCGGTTTAGATTTGTGAAACACACTAAAAATCACCTTGTCGTTTTTGCTGTGATACCCGAGAGTAGTTATGAAAAAAAATTTGCAAACTTTAAAGTGTTTCCCGACCTTATTGCTTAACTTATAATGAAAAGTCAAATTTCGTTTAGAATCTTCAGTCGTTCTTCGTTTGACTGTGGTTCGGCTACAACTGCTTAAAATAAATTTGCGCTGGTTCATTAAATTAAGAGCCCAATACATTTCGTGTATTTGTTTTCGCCGTTCTTCCGAGATCAAAGTCCGGCATTTTTTATGACATTTTTTGTTACAGCCCTCTCGGATTGGGTGCTTCCTTATTGCCTTGAGTTTGGCAACTGTTTTCCTACTTTCCTTGTTTTTTCTTTTCTTTAAATTTCGCTTTTTTCTGGGTTTGTTTTCATCAACAGGTGACTCGTTTCCAATTTCTTCTACTTCCTCTACATTTGCAGGTGAAGTTACATTCTCTACTTCTTTTGTTACATCCTCCATAACGACACTTTCATCTTCGAAAAGTGTATTTGATTGGATTTCTTTCAGTTTGTGTGCAGTTTTATAGCTTTCAGTGCCATTTTGATTGTTATTTTTATTATAAACATCTTGCATTACATCCTCCTCTATTATTATATCGCTATCCATTCGCTCTATCCCTTGCGTTTTAATTTATAGATCATTCCGGTCAGCGATGGGGTCATTTTCGTTCAAAAATATGACTTCATGACTAGCGGCCTCTTCAATAATGTCATTTGTTGTTTGTCTCGATTTTAGCATGTAAAGCATATTTTCTCCTCTCGTCATCATAGTACTTCCAATTGTATTTCAGAAAGCGTCAAATGAATTTCAGAAACCGACAAATATATTTCAGAATTCTCAAATGTATTTCAGAAAGCGTTAAATGTTTTTCAGAATAGTCAAATGTATTTCATAATGCGTACTATGTATTTCAGAATAATCAAATGTATTTCAGAAAGCATCAAATGTATTTCAGAAAGCGCCCAATGTATTTCAGAAAGCGTCAAATGTATTTCAGAACGGGATAAATATATTTCAGAAAGCGACAAATGTATTTTAGAAAGCGTCAAATGTATTTCAGAACGCGTTTTCCAATTGTATTTCAGAAAGCCTTAAATGTATTTCAGAAAGCCTTAAATGTATTTCAGAATAGTCAAATGTAATTCAGAAAGCGTTAAATGGATTTCATAATAGTCAAATGTATTTCGGAATTCCTTAAATGCATTTCAGAATAGTCAAATGTATTTCAAAAAGCATCAAATGTATTTCACAATAGTCAAATGTATTTCAGAAAGCGTCACATATATTTCAGAATAGTCAAATGTATTTTAGAAAGCGTCATATGTATTTCAGAAAGCGTCAAATGTATTTAGAATAGTAAGAATGCGCATTAAATATATTTATCTACTCCCCCATTAATAAGCTGTGACTGACTTTATGGCGTTTTAGTCACGGGCTGAAGTTAGCAACAGTGGCTTTTGAGCATGTTACAGTGATTAATTATCGTGAACATGTTACACCTGTTTATGTTGCTAAACAAATTCTCAAATGCAATTCTATGTTTTTGTTACAATATGCTAGTCTTGTCTTTAATGTTTTAAAATATAAAAATCCACATTACCTATACATATTGTTAAGAAGACTTTCTTATTACCACAACTTAAATACTAGAAATAAAAACCATTATTCTATTCAAATACACAAAACTTCTAAATATGAATGTTGTTTTGAATATTTGGCACCAACAATAGTAAATAGATTTTTTGAAATATTTAATTTAAATAACAATATTGTAACTTTTAAGCAATCTCTTAAATGTTTTTTGTTAAACCATCAAAATTTATAAATAATTTGTTTTATATATATATATATATATATATATATATATATATCTCTATTTTTAATGTATCCGGGTTTGAGTGGAAGAACAGCATGCTGCTGAACTCACACCATTTGTAAAATGTACCTTTTTAGTTTTACAATAAAGTTTATTATTATTATTATTATTATTATTTTAGTCACGGGCTAAAATGGACAGTTGACAGTTTTTAATAAATAAAATTGGACACTCTTTTTTATTAAACACTCGCTCGCAAGCTTCGCTCGTGCCTAATAAAACTCGTAACTAAAATGGCGTTTATAAAACTTGATATTAATAAATTGTTTTTTTTTTTAATTTTATTCTACTAAAAAAATGGAAAAAAAATACTGAATTTGTTTCAAACTTTTTAATTGTTTTTAGCGAGAGGTAATCCACTTTAAAATCTTAGATACCAACGTTCAATATTAGTGGACGTTGTGTTGAGATTTTTTTCCTTATCAGTCGTTATCAATAAGGAAAACTTGCTTAATCGGTGCTTAATCAAGGCTTAGCGACGCGTTGCGCATGACTACCCTTATTATTGTTATCCTTAGCCGTTATTTCGTAAGCGATTTTTAATTTTAAAAAATCAGTGGTTTACCCCTCGGTTTTTAGTGTTTTATGTACATATTATTTAAACTTTTTTACTGTTTAACATTTAGTACAATGTTACAGTGATTGATTATCACACTATGTACACAAGGAGTACAAACTTTTTATGTAGATGTAATGTCCCTTTGTACTAACAAGAATGCAGCCTGCTTCATAGTTGAGACATGCCCTACTTCTCTTTTAGCGCCCTCTTATTTTGGGAAGCCATTTGTTTACATGAAGTTCATACTTCTTGTGTAGGCTCCCTGAATAATTGTCTAGGCCGAAATCCGGTAAAGTTTTTACCTCCTAGTCTGTAAAAACTTTATATAGATGTATCGATAGCACAAAACTATCATATCGAAAATATCGATGGTCGAATTTTTGACTATGGCACACCTCTACCTGATACACCTCAATGTGAAACTGCCACTGTTGTGTAAATATATATATTTACATATGGTGACTGCGATACTTTGCAGATGTTAAAAACCTGTAATTTGGAAGTAGCCGCTACTGAAACAAACTCTACAATGGATGTTGCCGCTTTTGCAAAATATTCCAAAATTTAAACGTACTTTTTAGCGGGATCTAACCGCTTTTAAAATAATTTAAGTTTATCACGTTACAAGGCACATCTTATAATATGGTTTTCTACTGTTAGATTAATTTTGATAAAATATGGATGTAGCCACTATTGCAAGTAGACGCCTCATGTGTTAGTACTCACGGTTTTTGACATTTTGCTCAAAATCACCTAATATGGGTAAGCCGAGTTTTGGAATGCACCTCCACATTTATAACTATGTAATATATAGTAATAATATTAATATGTATGTAGTAAATACATTTTTTATATAATAATAATAATAATACTTAATAATTTTCGTTTATATAAATTTATGCTATCAATTAAAAAGCTTCCAAAATATATATTTTCACTATTCTGAAATACATTTGATGCTTTCTGAAATACATTTAAAGCATTCCGAAATACATTTGATTATTCTTAAATACATTTGACACTTTCTGAAATGCATTTGACGCTTTCTAAAATACATTTTACTATTTTGAAATTCATTTGAAGCTTTCTAAAATACATTTGACTATTTCGAACTACATTTAACGCATTCCGAAATACATTTGACTATTATGAAATACATTGGGCGCTTTCTGAAATATATTTGACCTTTTTTGAAATACATTTGACGCTTTCTGAAATACAATTGGAAAAGGTGTAGAAAAAAAGTAGGGTTAGATAATAATAAAACCAGAAGTACTCTGTATGTAATTATTTCATTATTCATTTATATATATATATATATATATATATTAATATATATAATATAATAATACTTACTATTTTTTATTCATTTCTGCGGAAAGGAACACAATTTACTTAAAACTAAATTCAAAAGCAGTATGTACAGGGCAACTTGTATCTACTGCTTTTTTGCATGGAAGGAAACAGTTACTGCTGTCTTCATTTGTATGACCTCAAATTTTCAAAAAGGCAGTAAGTTGTTTTATTTATTTTTAATGGGTAAACTATTTTATACCGCTTTTATACGCTATAATGAGATAAATAAGGTAAAGAGCTATCCCAACGTACCAATATATCAATTTTCACTTTTTTGCAATTACTGCCTTTCTCCATAGTAGGGCAGTATATGCTAAATCAGTTGATATAAATAAATCAACGTTTCTGCATACGGCCCCTACTCTTGTTGTTTTAATATTTTTTTAAATAACATTGAATTCTTTTTATAAAATAATTTATTTTTATACTTACAATGATTTGCAATGCAACAGTAACGCCCAGCACCTCAAGATAAGCGATTGTGTCTTGGGTCCCGTTTAACGCGCACGTACTTCCTCCAAATCGGTGTTCAAATTTAAAGAATCAATTAATGATTCTACACGTGATCTACCAGATCCAAGTAAAAAGAGGGTGCAAACTCAAAAATCGGTTCAAATTCAAAAAAATCTATTAATGATTCTACACGTGATCTACCAAATCCAAGTAAAAAAAAAGGTTGAAAATTGGGTGCGGCACCCAGTCCCAAAGGGATCTACCTGTAAAAAAGGGTAAACAACAAGTGCCAATTGTGAGCGGTTGAGGTTAAGGAATAAATTCACCACACCTGACTATTAATTCACCTAAAGTCTGCAAAACCAGATAAGTAAAACAACTAAAGTGCATGACCTTATTAATACTCAATACTAAACTTTAAACAATAAAATCCAACAAAAATTAATTATTCGCCAACAGTTTACATAAGAACAGCATAAACAAGCGTTTATAAACAGGCATTAATCACTTAAATTCAGATAAACTAGGTAAAATAATCTCATCTTAAAGAAATTAACATCTGTAGATTGCTGCAGTGTGTTTTTTGAGTGTTTCTGAGGGCGTCATCAACTGGTCGCATGAAATAAATCAAAACTAAATATAGTGTCAGTGGCGTACCATTTCGAAGGGGTCCAAGCATTAATTGTGGGTGTATTTTTGGTCGCCTAATGTCGCGTCATAGTTAAGCAACTCAAAATACACCCAATTAAACAGTAATTCGAATAACAAGCCTAACATAGCTAGCCTCTTGGACGGAGTTTGGTGGGAACGGAGGTCCCTTATGCTCTGGTTACCTTGGAAAGTATTTAACTAAATTAATAACAAAACGTTTTTGTTAACGTTCAAACGTTTGACAGGCATTTTTTAAAACCTGTCAAACTTACAAAATCTGTTATTTAATGGCAATTACCGTATGAACGCCACTGACTAACCTCCAAAATTTAATAAATTCCGGCTCAATGGCACACCAAACTATACGCGCTCTGTCCTTCTTGCACAAGCTGCGTGAGAGAGACATCGGACTGACGTTTGTCGTAATTCACGATTAATGTGTCGCCGCCATCTGCTGGTTTAGCGGATCCCAGCTAAACACAATGTCTGTGGTTGGTTCGGCAGCTTTTGGATCGTCTATCTGGTTTTGAATTTATTATTATTTCCTATTATTTATTTTTCTTATTAGGTACTTAATTTTAAACATATTTTAAAAACTATATATTTTCTTTAGCACTGATATGTATTTATTTTACAGATTATTTGATTGATTATACAATTGCTGTTCTTGTTTCACTTCTTTTGTAATATGGGTTAAGTGGAAGAGTAGCT